TATATACATATTCGATATTATTGCCTTCATACCATTAACTTGAATGTCATATTTAATTATGTCTACATAATTTCATTTATGCTAAAGTTATCTGTATACTTTTCTTAATTGTTCTTGATGTTTCTTTTATTTCTTTTCATTTTCTCCATTATATTCATTTTCTATTCTTTTTTTAATTCTTTTCACTTTCCAGTTTTTTTCCTTTCCATTCTTTAGCTTTCTTTTCCATTTCTTTCCCTTTCAATATGTACATATGTTTATATATCATTTGAAAATGATAATTAGCCATCTTATAAACATGAGGTCTAATCGATATTAGTGTCTTCACACCATTAACTTGAATGTAATATTTAATTTGTTTACATAATTTTATTTATGCTAAAACTAGCTTTAATATAAACGTTGTTTAATATCTGCATCTATCTCTCTCCCTCTGCACTTGCTCTCATACCATACAAACAGTTTTTTACTTATTTTTATATTTTCATTACTTTCGATTGATTACCAATTTGTCATTCCTTAACTGTTTTCTATTACTTTTTCTAATTTCCATTTCTTTCATGTACCTTTCTTAATTGGCAACCATTCTGAAAGCCAACGTGGCAGTTGTCAGACTTCTTTCTAAATGGTGTTACTTTACTGTCATAAGCAAGTCTTACTATGATTATGAGATGTTTGATGGTTGCACGATATCCCTAAATATACATATACACAATCTTGTTTGATAATGCTGGTACTTTACATATGTAAATATGCAAAAAAATCAAATATTTTGGCGGCCATCTTGATATCCAATATGGCAGCCATCTTGAAATTCAATGTGGCGGCCTTCTGACATAATTTCTGATATTTGCATGATACAGTCCCGGATATCGAAAACACAAGTAGAGATCTTTGACAGTGCTAAGTGTTGTAGAATGACGATATTTACATCATCAATAATTCATTTGGCGGCCATCTTGAAATCTAGTATGGCAGCAATCTTGAAATTCAATATGGTGGCATTCTGACATAATTTCTGATGACTGCATGATAGTCCTTGATATCGAAAACATTGGTAACTGTCTTTGATTGACAGTGCTAGGTGCTGTAGATACGATATTGACAAAAATAGCAATAATTTGGCGGGCATCTTGAAATCCAATATGGTGGCGCCATCTTACATAGTTTCTGATGATTGCATGACACTCCCTGATATTGAAAACATGGGTAATGATCTTCCGTTGGATTGGATTGGATTTATTCGGTGTAAACACCAAGGATAGCCCACGAAAGTCTAGAAGAAGACTTATTTCCAGTGGGGTCCTTCTGGTGGTGATTAGGCGACAATCCCCTACTCTTTTCCGAAAAGTGTACTGCGTTCGTTCACGTTTGGGCCATAATGCACACGGGACCAACGGCTTAAACGTCTCATCCGAAAGACGGTGCGCTATTGTAACTTGTATTTCAGCCTTCTAGCTGAAACACAAGGAGAGGCAGCGATGGGAATTGAACCGGGGACCTAGAGATCTTCACGGATCAACGCACACACAGTGGCTACCACCAGATTAGCCGACTGAGCTAAGCTGCTCTCTCAAAGCAGTTGGAGTGATGTGCTGTAAATATGAATACAGGGTAAAATTAATTATTTTGGCGGCAATATTAAATTTCAAGATGGCGGCCATTTGAAATTTAATATGGTGGTCTTCTGACATAATTTCTGATGGATGCATGATAGTTTCTGATATCGAAAACATGGGCAATGGTCTTTGACAGTGTACTGTAGATATGGATATTGACAAAAACATCAATTATATAAATTATTTGGCGGCCATCTTGAAATCCTATATGGCGGCGCCATCTGACATAATTTCTGTTGATTGCATGACATTAACAATTGAATATCCTGGTTTCATTCTGCACTCGACGAACATGTCGGTCTCACTTTCAGAGAGGAAAAAGCAAAAAATTCTCAAATCAACCTCTGATTTGAAACAAAACAAATACTGTAGATCTACTATTCAACTTGTAGTCGAATGCATTGGCACATTGGTCTCCTCTTTCCCGGGGGCTCAATTCGGACAACTACATTACAGGAATTTAGAGGGACAAAATGTTTTAACACTCATGTGTTCTAAGGGTAATTTCAGAGCTCAGATGGAACTTGAATTATCTTGGTGGTGGTGGTCTCATGAAAACACAGAATGGGAATTGAACCATACAATATTTGACAATTTATGTGAGTTGTGGGGGAAGCCAGAGGTTGATTTATTTGCTTCCAGGATAACAAACAAATAGACAATTATGCCTCCTGGAAACCACATCCATTTGCATTAGCAGTAAATGCTTTTTCAATAAATTGGAAGTCATGTCTACGTTTTTCCTCCTTCTTCCTTGATAGGAAGAATCCTTCAGAAAATTGTATTGGATGAAACACCCCAAGTAATGATGAATGTCCATTATTGGACAATGGATTGTGTTTTTGTTCTTCCAAATTATAGGAACATTCTGTCTCACCCATCAAAGACGGTCCACCCTAAATTTTTGTTATTTACAATTCTATTTCCAAAACCCAATCTGCAAGCATTCACAGGCAATCGTTTTTTTTTTTTGCGCTACCATCAGTAACAACCTGAATCTACATATTCACCTTAACATTCAATCCCCTGAGTCCCGTAGGCTTTTTTGATCTCGTTTTTTGTATAAATGTGTTAATACTATGTTTGATAGTAATCTGAGTCCCCAGTCTGCGTCTCAGAAACAATGCTACGTTTCACATTCCTTTTAGTAGAGTTAATGTATTATAAAATGGTTATGTTAGTAGATTGAGTCAAAATTATAATTCTCTTCTTTTAAGAAATCCTGAGTTAGATATTTTCAATAATGACTTTCGTATGTTTTTTAATATTATAAGTAGTTTAGTTTAATGTTAGATGTATTACTCGTATTGTACATTGTGGTTTTATGTGTAAGTGGCAAACTATGTGTTTGCTGTTGGTTGGCAAAATAAATAAATAAATAAAAATAAAATGTCATCACATTCCTTCATCAATGCTGCTACTGTGGATGGAGGACGTTGGTTAGTGGATCTAGAGCTTCATTGACAATCGTCCAAGATAATGCGAATAACAAATGTGATGCAAGAGAATGCCCACTTTGGTTTTGGCTGGCCAGAAGATTTTTTAAGAATAGCATCCCTAAGGCCGGAAATTGTACTTCCAGTCTTCACAAAATCATGTTATTACACTCAAGATAATTTGTGTATTTTATAATTCCATTTTCAAAATTGTTATTAATCATTCAACAGTGGGGTCTGCCGGTCAAGAATCCACCCATCAGAGAATGAAGATGAGTTGGCACGCATCATTATGCTACCCATTATATTGCCCAAATGTGTCCACTAAACCTCCAGTTTAAAGTCTTATCAAAAAAGACTTGATTGTAACAAATCCCAAGTTAATAATATGTTAGACTTATATAACGATTAACGCCAATAAGGCAAGTAACTAGCGCTTCACATTATTACGCCCCCACCCCCACCCCCTGCCTGTCATTAGATTAAAACGCCTATGGAACAAACTTGAGCTCCCTGGGTGAGTATTCCATAACGTTGCAACGGCTACATCAGCACATGTTGGCGTTTAACTCTAGCAGGTACCCATTTATACTCCTGGGTTGAGAGAAGCAATGCAGATAAAGTGCTTTGCGGAAGGACAGAAGTGAAATGCGAGGGATTGAAACCCCGACCTCGAGGTTGGAAAAGCAACCCATTCCCACTGCGCTAAACCACTAACTAGTTCTACTACTATGATCCATTTACTAGCAATCCAATTCATTTTTTTTAATACCATTTTACACTCGACCGAATCATAAGGACATTGTCTCATTAGTATTCTCTATTATAATAGTCATACATGTATTGTTGTACAATCAGGTTTCCTAATATACTTTTTGCAAGTTGAGTGCAATATAGAATGAGTCTGTATTAGCTGTTTATTACGGTAGGTGTGTAGTATTAATGCCAGTACGCAGCAAAATGCAAACACATTCTTTGATATTTCAACATTTGATTTTTACTTTAATCAATCATTTCACAGTTACTTTGATCAAGAAAAAAAACCCCTTAAAAAGTACATAGGGTACTAGATATCCTTACATGTAGCCTAAATAGATATCTCATGACAAACATGAAATCAATTATAAATTTAGGGATTGCACAACCCTATTGTTAAGAGTATACATAGCTGGTGAAATAGTTTAGTCATACAGTATTGCATGATGGGGCTCACTCCAACCCTAACCTTTTTAGTATAGTTAAGTCACAGTATTAACAATGTATCCTAAAACTTTTAATAAAAACCTTGAGTTAGTAATCCTTTGTTTGGCATTTAGAGTGGTTACAATCAGAATATGGTTTACTATGGAGTACTGGGTTATTATTAGGAAATATTAACCCACCTATGTTTCTTGTGTCAAAACCTCACAATGGATAACTATACAAGTAAAACTGTTGAAATTTTTTTTTCATTAAACTCAAAACAAATTGTGTATTGTAGGCATTCTTTTAAGGGCATTTGGCAATAGGTCAATATAAAACAAAAGATAAACTTTTAAATTGAGTTACTATTAATAGATGATGGGAATTCTTATTAAAGTAGAGGGTTTCTATTAGATGTTTTATGGTAAATAAAGTTCAAAATTAGTTATGGCATCAAAGATGATGTTTTTTGGTATCTTCCAATATTTCTTTTCTGTGCCAATTTTTATCAATATTAATAGTTTTACAATTCAGATTAGTGTGATTATAATTTGCCAAGATTACTTGGCCAAGATTAGTTTCAAAGGGAACTGTTCTCTGAATGAAAAGCGACATATAGATACACAATTTATATATGAACTATTTTGATTACAAACATTATCATCATTGAAATTATTAGCATAGAGATTGAATTTAGTGAAAATTGTAAACAGAATGTATACGGTATGTAGATACCTATCTTTAATGTTTTCCAACACATAATGAATACATTAATGCATTAAATTGTACATAAAATAAGCTAAATTCAATTCTAACTCTCTATTCATGATGGTTTATATAATTGCAGTTATGATTAAGGAGGGCTAAAGTAGAACATTATGACAGTATATGATTATGCTTATATTATAATTAATAATATTATAATTATTATAATGGTGATGATTTTATTTTTGTAATTGCTAATAATGTTATCATTATAATGATAATTTATATTAAATATAATCAGAATTTTTAAACACTGGATATATGATTTAACATTCTGGATAGATGGATCTTCATCATATTATTATTTATATTATTATTAATATTATGATTATCACCATTGATTCTTATTAATGTTATTCAAAAATGTCAAACTTCAACATGAAAACTTTCAATTCCACCTTACATTGGTTAAACATATTATATTATTTTCATTTGATTGTAAATCAAAAAATATATATATCATATACTTGCATAATTTTGAAATATGTAAAATGTAGCATGTTATCACAATTCAGAAACAATCTAACTTATTTATTTAAACTCATCACATAATTTGTACTTATAAAAAACATCTTTTCAAGTTCCAATAAGATCAATATCAAAAGAGAATTCCATGCAAATGGCATTAATTTCATTTCAGTTCTCTCTGCATTTATTAGGTTTTATAACCTGATTTATTTTTTTAAGATTATGTTAATGTTTTATTATATACCTTTTTATTGCTGATTGGCTTATCTATCAATTTTTATGTGAAGTTGAGGTACAGCATAGATTGTATTTTGGGTGCTACATCGTCTGGTGCATGAGTGTATGATTTTATGGGTTTTATACCAAAAAAAAAAGTTTACAAAGGCAATAAGTACAAAATATGTGAATAAGATACAATAGCCTAAACAGAATTACATTAAAAGAGTTACAAAGAAAACCAATATTACCTAACAGGATTAAGCTTAAAGTAAACTCAAGAAGTGGTGGGACTTGTGCTGTACATGTGGTTGTGACCTGGACAGGCATGATCTTCCAACATTGAACCATCCGTTGACAATCTCATAAACAGATACACAGCAACCAGTAAGGCTAAAAGTAGTAGTACTAAGACAATGTTGAACTTGTACTGCATTGCATCATGTTGTTTTGCTGTAAGATCTGTCAGGATGGATATCTACAAAAAACAAAAAAAATGCTAATTTAATTCTGTTGGAGAGAAGTTCCACTAATAAAATCTCTAGTAGAGTTTCTACATAATGAAGGGCAGGCTGATTTAATTCTCTAGTAAGAGTTTCTATGGAATGAAGGCCAGGCTGATTTAATTCTCTAGTAGAGAACAGCTCTAAAAAATGGAGGAACTGATATCTAACGGCAATTAAATGGCCGAGCGATTGGTGCTGGTTCCAACGGCACGCTCTCGCTTATGGTTCTGCTGGTGGAACAAGTCGGATAAGCACTAAAACCGTAGGCCCAGTGAACGCAATTTGGCTCGTGTGCACTTAGTACATCTTTCGAGACGAGTAGGGAGTTACCCTGCTGCTGGTCCATACAGCCCCTATTGTGGACAGATGAGAGTAGCTGGTACCGGTTTACCAGGTAGCTCATACATGACGAGATTCTTCGAGTCCACAGCGCTTTGAGACCCTGGTATAAAGCCCTATATAAATCGAACTACATTACATTACAACTGTTTTGTAGTAGTCAGTAACTGGCATCTATTACTACCGCCCATATTCTTAAAACAAACTTTAGTCAAACTTTGAACTAGAACTTCATTTAGTGCTAGTTGCAACTTCAACTTCAATTTGTATTCACAAACAACGTAGTCAAAGTTTTAACTACAATTAAATCAAGTCCTAGTTTTAGTTCAACTGAAAATGACTGGCAAGCCACGACTATCAAACTAACCAATGAAAATGGCTAACTTTAATAGCAGACAAAATTTTAGAGATCCAGTAACCCGGTAATGAATATTAAGCTGCCGTCTGTGGTTCAAAAACCTATTTCCTCATAATTCATAATAGACCATCATTTAATTAATTTTCTATAACTATAATTAGTTGTTAACACATTACGATAGAGAATTTGAACAGTCACTGAAAAATTGCTTTCTTTGGAGAACTATTATAGTTGAGCCCAAGCGAGGGCAACGCCATCTTTGTTGTTGTTATGCTAAAGCTACATGATCGCAACGCGAGGGATTTCATGCAAATCAGGAACTTTCGCATGTGGCTAGCAAAACATGTTAATTTCTCCTTTTGGAAGCTAAACTTGATGTTTAAACTTTTGTTTAACAAACCTGCGTATACAATTGTTTTTTTTTCGTTTCACTTTATCGTGAGTTACAAAAACACGTTTTTAGTGGGGTAAATATTTCAAGTTGGCAATTTAGCCTGACCCTAGGCTGACTAAAAGAATCGGCCTGCGGAGGTATCATTTTAGTTGAGGTTCGCGTCATTTAGTTGTTGTGCTAGTCGAAGTTCGTTTTAAGAATTCGAAATTACATAATTTTTAAGTTTTAGCTCGAACTATGACTAAAGTTTGTTTGAAGAATACTGGGGTAAATTTTTCTGTATTTATGTTGTTATGGTCAAATAAAAAACAAAAGAACACTATATTTGTGTGAAGTGAAATAAAATAATAAAATTTACAGTAACATATACCAGTACAGTAATAGGAATGATGTTTTCGCCCTAATTATCATACTGAATGCTCAGTTAGGTTTCCAAATACTTGCAAAAAAAAACTAGCAAGTGATTGAGGTGGGAATTGAACCCACAACCTCCAGATAACTAGAGCACTGAGCTTGCGCTTACTTAGTGAGTAGTGTTGAATCCGATCTCCATGTAGCAGTGAAGAGTTGAGAATAAATTGTTCATATGTACCTTTTCGTTGAGTTGACTTATTTGTTTGCTGAGAACAGCATTGGAATCATCAGGCATCCTCTCTCTTTCTTCTTCAGTTGGTACGTAAGTGCATTTCAGTCTTTTAAGAAAAGTTATCTAACATATTAAATCACATAATCTTTATTTTTCAACCTTAATTTAATGATTTTGCTTTCATGGGCATGATAGGCTGATACTGCATTAATATATAAACACACACACTGGCAACATATTGCCAATACACAAAGACAATACAATAATGATTTATTTATTTGTTATTGATATTCATCTGAGACAACTTTAGCATCTTTCCTTTGGGTTATGACACACTCTGTTTTCCCTGGTCACTGGGTTCACATTTTTAAGTGTTGCTGCTGCTCATTGTATCACTGGGATGATGATAGTTTTCATAATAGTTTTGAGGAAAATATTGTTAATGGAATCGAGAAAATATTGAATATTCTAATATTATTAATGTTGACCACTAAAGTGCTCCAGTTTATATTGATGATTTGTGTGATAATATTGGAAAAACATTATGAGTAAATTTTTTTATATCAAAAAGGGAACCAGAAAAGGTGGCCTGTCTTCACAGTTCATTTTTAACATTTTTTATAAAGATTTAATTGACGGGAAAATTATTTGGACTGTAGTATTGTCATTAATGAAAAGTATAACTTATTCTGTTAGGCAGATGACTGACACTTCAGATATTTACATACATTAGGTCACATGGGCTGAGATTTAACCCAAGTAAAACTATCTGCACCACATTTGATGTTGCTCCTTTTTGGCATTTATATGACTCTGAGCTAACATGTTTCTGATGATGTTACATATCTTGGCGTGAAATTCAACTCTGACCTTAAAGGCAAATATCATGTTAAAGAACGAATAAGCAAGTGTTAAATAGCATTTTATGCTCTACATGTTGTGGGGGTTATGTAAAAATGGTTGTAACATGCGTCAAAAAACTCTATTATGGTTCCAACCTTGAGTTATGTTTTAGAATCTATTAATCTGAAAAGTCTGTTATTCATGAACTTGCAATCAAAATTAATGAAGGCTGCCTTAGAGTATTGCAGAAATACACCATTCTTACATGCTCTTAATATACCCCACACTGTAAATGAAGTGATAAAAAGTTATCAAGTTAACATACTATCGTTAATAATTCTAAATTAATAAATTTCGATACCAATTGTGTAAATCTTTTAAATATGTTAATAGTGAGAATGATGGCCTTTGTGACAGTGATACAGTAATGATTAAGATGACCTTACACAAAATTAATATTTTAAAGGAGCACAAAAGCTGGCAGGAGGTGAATCACTTGCATTCATTTGGCGGATGATTAGGAATATTCTAGGAAGCAAAGAATAATGCGCATCATGTATGATCAGAAGTGGCCCTGCCCTAGAAAATGTAGCTGCCTGGTCCCCGATGCAAGGCGGGGATCTGGAGGCCAACAATGCCCCCCCCCCAGGTAAGGTCCAAGAGCAGAGCCCTGGTGGGTTGTGGACCGAAGCTCATAAAGCTATAGTGGCGGTGGTTTAGCAACAATTTGATTTCTAACTTCGAGGTTATGGTTTTAATCCCTTGCTTTGCTTTTCGCTTGTGTCCTTGAGCAAGGCGCTTTATCTGAATTGATTCTCTCTGCCCAGGAGTACAAGAGGGCACCTGGTAGATTTATGCTTTGTCGATGCTTTTTCAGAACTGTTTTAAAGTACCATAGTTTAAGTCAAAATTTATTTACTGCTTGTTTTTCTTTTCTTTTTGTAAAGCGCATTGAGGCTTTATGCGGGATGCGCTGTAGAAGTATGAAATTATTATTATTTAGAATGCCAAATGCACCGACTAGCTGCAACGTCATGGAATACTCCCCTGGAAACTAAGTTTGTGTTTCATATGTGTTTAATCCAATGACCAGGGTTATAATATTATCCGAAATGCATAGAGGCCTCAGCATTAGTATTATATTCATTTTATGTGTAAAATGCTTAATGAATTATTAATTATCTTGAATGAAAAACTACATGTTGTCTTGGGTCAGTAAGGCCTATCCCCAACCAGCTCTAGTCTGTTGGTGCTAGAGTGAATGAATAAGCTTTCTAATGGTAAGAGTATTAATAATGGTACAGTAAGTTTAAGAAAACACCTAATTTATGATTATTATTCATCCATCATGTCATGCCTGTCTCTTATACACATCTAGATGTGTATAAGAGACAGTAAAATAATATGACTTTATACTGCGCATTTTGCCAAGGAATGCAAGGTGTTGGCAATGTTTTTGTTATTACTGATGGCCACTAGATCTATAATTTGTCATGCTAATTTTTCAATGTCACATCATCCTACCAAGTACCCATGTACACTTCTGGGTAGAGACAACCATGGGTAAAGTGCCTTGCCCAAGGACAAGTGAAATTCACAGCGAATTTTCCGAACTCCCACCAAGAGAGAGACCGAAACACAACCGCTGTGCCAACGGCTCCCACATTATTATATTTATTTCCTGCTGCTCCAATTTTACAGACAGTAAATAAATGAAAACTAACTTGCCTGTGTTCTATGGCATCTTCTTTTGCAACTCTTTTCCAGAATTCTGTCATTTCAGCAGGAGTCTTGATCACCTCATGTAGCTTAGTTGACAGTACTAAAAACTTGTCTTTGGCAATTGTCTGTTTGTGAGCTAAATTGCAATCACACAGGTAAATATGGTATGTAAGGTGATTCAAATTTATTTTTTTCTGTATAAATGCCCTTTAAAATGTTCTCTAGAATAAACAACAGTCTATGCCAGAGCACAAATTACAGGCAAAGCACAAATTACAGGCAAAGTCACATTTCATAATACAGGGGATTACATAAGGAACCAGTTCCACAGTGACAAATATCGCAATTACCATACCTACACAATGATACAATAAGATGTTCAATTCTGTAACGATATTCTATTTTATATACAAAATGTAAATGATCTATTAAGTGCCATAGTTGTTTTACATGCTTCTGAATTTGAATTTAACCTTCCTAGATGAAAGCTTGTGCAAGTTAGCATAAACTTTAAATTGGTTCATCCAGATTAACTATATATAAAGTCACATACTATTATTGTTATATTTATTAGTAAAATAATTAATAGAAGAAGCCTTTCACACCCACCTGCACTAATATAAACTGAGATATTGACGTTAGCGTTGGGTTTGATGGGGCCGGCACTTGGCTTCACCTTGTACATATCTGGACTTGTTGTCTTGACCTAGAGTAGAGTATATACAAATTGGAAGGTAACAAGTCAGATTCATGACACATCAATTCAGAAAATGTATTATCCCTGAAAATTTAAAAAAAAAATAAATAAATTGAGAATTACTGAATTTTAAAAATGTGTACCCTGATTATTATACTAGATAAGTCATTTTTTTATGTAAAATGGTGGGTAAACATTTTTAAATAGACTATGTTATTTTTTGTTCTAGGTTGATCATTTTTATGTTACATCAAAATGACCAAGTTATTCTTGAAAAATAATTTTTATGATTTTTTTTTTTTGGTATTCCTCATGGGACAATGCATCTTTATTAACACTTTCACCGCCAGATGTGTTTGAAAAATAGTATCAACCACTGCCTGTCTTTTTAGCGAATTTGAAAATTTTTCCAAAGCTCGCTAAAGTCTGATTCACATGTACAAAAATCTTACCAAATGCAACCAAAAGTAACATTTTACGGCACGTGTGAAAGAACCTCTGTGTAATATCCTTTTAAAATCTCGGAACACCTCAGCGAGGCTGGAAAAGCTTCTGAGATGTAGCATGGATGGATCTGCGCATGCGCAGTAATTTCAACACAACAACAATCTACAGTACTGTGTTTCGCAGGGTCCACTAAAAATAGATAGGCCTAGTTTTTCTCAACGATGGATGAATTACCCTTTATCGATAAATAAACGTCGGGATGTTGTTAGTACTATTATTAGTATTATCAAGAGTTGACAGAGACGTCGGAAGCTAGGCCTGTAGTACAGCAGTTGTTAAGGGCATTGATTGCTTCAAATGTTTACTGTCTGTGATGGTGAGTTCAACAGTCCACCTATGACAGGGGTCCTCAACTAGGCCTAGGCTTGGCCTATATCGCAGTAGGGGCAAAAATGATTCCTTGAATAAAATTGAATAAATTTTACATGACCTTGGCATTACCTTACAGACGTATGTGAATGCTTTATGTCTCGGTACGAATAACTCGGGAGATGGCTCGTTACAATTTGTTACTTTTTGTTGAATTTAACTTCATGTGTGAATGCGTACATGATCAAATTGACATATGGTATTATACGCTAAAAAATGACAAAAATCTCACCTTTACACTGGTACCAAACACAATTTATAACCCCATAACAGTAAAATGAAAGTGACTCACTTTTGGGTTTTATGCATATTTACACAATGAAACTGAGATGATTGCGTTAGTATTGCCATGCAATATGAGAATAGGTCTCATTTAAATAGCGAAACATGTGATCCCAACCGAATTGGATTTTCTAGAAATCCAGACATATCCCCTCTACCATGAAAAGCAAGGATATCACCATCTTTGGCTGTATAAGTGTTAATTGAAAAACAGAACAATTTTGAGATACCTATATGTAAAAATGTTAATGGTAAACTGTATATGGAGGGTCCATCTAGATAACAAGCTGGACCTCACCATATAAATCAATGCAATCCTTAAATAGAGTACCTCATTCTTTCAGTTTTTACATTGATTGATGCTTACCGAATTGAGTTGGATGTTCTATTTAAGTGGACCTATCAGTTTATTGGCTGAAGGGGAGGGTCACCTTTTAACATTCTAGAAACATCTCATCCATCATGTCATGCTTAACAATCAATCACAGAATGATAAATTTATGTAAAGCAATAGGTGTAGCCGTTGCGCTTTGGCCTCTCATTCTTGAGGTTAGAGGGTCAAACCTGTGCTGTGAATTTTGCTTGGGTCCTTGGGACAGACGCTTTACCTTGGGTACCTAGTACTATGATGTGGTATTGCATGTATTAGTCTGTATTTGCATTAAATTGCAAGCACGACTGGAATACTCCACTGAGTGGAGGAGATTTCACTTTGTTCCAGTTTGCCAAATCAGGGCCGGCGGAACGTTTTTCAAAGTGGGGGGGCCCCACTTATAAGCAGGCCAGTAACAGGGGTCTTGGG